CAAAGAACCAGTCGCGACGACTCGCTCGAGAAAGCATTCGCGAGCATTTTAGTTTCTGCGATGATGGAGGCAAAGACTCGTTCTCGGGATTCCGTGGACATCAACGTCCCTTCGCTGGACTCGTTTCCCGATCAGAGGAAGGGTGTTCTCTTCTTGCGGTCATGCGATTTCAAGTGGAACCGCATCGCGGTGAAACTATGCTTCATAAAGGAGACTCTCCTATCGCACTTGCGGCACTTGACGTGAACCCGACAAATGTAGAGCTTGATACACCGCCGGAGAACATTGTGTGAGTGAGGGAAATTCGTGCCAGGACTTAGGATGCAGCGAAACTGATATATACAATATATATACAATTCAATCGGAGTCACATCTCAGTTTCATGCGCGAGACGAATTCGCACGAGAACGGAGGAATCCCTCGACAGAGAGGGAGAGATAAATGTACCTGGAGACGGAGGGTCGGTGGACTCTGTTTCCTTGCATTGCGCGTTTTTCTTGCCGGGAAGACTCATCGGGGCTTTCTCCGTGCGCCCAGGAGGAGCGGGCTCCTCTTACGATTCCCGTTATTCTACTGGAAGAGAGGTGGAATTGTGCCACTCATCTACGTAATCGGTTGATCGGCGTGACAGTGCCTGACGCATCTTTTAACGGTCGAAAGTCGATCGATTGGCACGTTTGTCAAGGAGCGAAATATCGCATCGTTCGGACGTGAACAAGATACCTTCCCGAGAGAGGGAGGAGACATGCCCGGGAATCGTGCAATGAGGGGACAATGAGGTCCCTAGCCTCTCCCCCGCCCCTGGATCCGCCACTGTGGGCCTCTGGCTCAGAATGACCCGGCAATCATCTTCACGTTTGACCGAGGACTTCAGATCCTTGCTTCGAGCGAAACCCGGTACATGGACCAAAAGTTTTAGTGCGTTGACGTAGTGAGGTTGAACAATATTCCCTCTCCTTTTGAGACGACATGTTGGTCTAGAATGGATTCATTTGCTCAGTGGAAAGAGTACACCTTCTTATTGATCGCTATGAAGTTCGATCCGGAGTACTTCCTATTTGGCCGGACACCTCGATTCTACTTGCACGGCGTACACTCATTTCGCGGTCATGCAATGTTACGGTCGGTGAGTCGGTAGGATTGTTCAGGACCGCGTAGAACATTGAAGCTCCGGGTTCCCCCATTGACGAAGAATTCTACCGTAGGCTGACACTGGAGGTTCGGATCCTCCCCCCACCCTCAAGAAAAAAAAAGACCACAGGCGTAACTTGGATCCTCATCGAAGAATGAATTAGAATAGGACTGCGTTGATGCATTTCCAAGAATTCAAACAGAAGAGTAGATTCGAAACTAGCGTAGATGATGTGGGTCACGTGCCGCTTTACTTCGAAAAATGTTAGGTCATTATCAGAAAGTCTGTTGGGTCTGTTCCTAAGTTTTGAGGGTAGTCATGCATTTGGACAGATGAGACACCTTCAGGAAATAGATTTACCCGAGTCTGTCGCGTAGTCTTATCGAATATGTGTCTTCCATCCGGCGTCGAGGAGTGATGTGGAGAATACGACAGGGATGGCTGTGATTCCGACTGTCGAGAGAGTGTCGCCGCGTGATTGAGAGAGGAACTGAAAGGAACCACATAGCACCACGCTTCGTCATGTGATTGGTTTTCTGTGTGTTTTTGGAAAAACGTGACAGGGTCCCAGAAGCTCATGATAGTTTACCCAAGAGGGAGGCGAGACCGAATCGCAGCTTCTTGCTGGGTAGGATTTTGAAACTACTCAATATACACCACTCCCGTTGCATCTGTTTGCTCTCGGGAGAGGAGGACTGCGCCCCTCATGACTCATGATGCCCCAGACTTCCCACGAAACCGTCTGTAATCTTGAACTATGGATACTTCCCTCGAGTCTCTGGCTGGAAAGTCAATCCAATGAATGGGAGCATCGATTTGAAGACCTCCCTGAATTTGTGGAGGCCCTTACTGCAAGGATGTCTTTCTTCGGAACTTCTGCGAGTTCAAATGAGAGGTCATAAGTGCGAAGAATCATGAAGGCAGATAATCCTCCGCGCAGCCCCGAGCTTCAGATTCTTAAGCGCATAGCGCCGCCATAGCTCATGGCTCTCAGCGCAAATGGTTTCGAGCGTAGATAGTCATGCTTGCGTATAGCCATGAGCTTAGGTAATGGCGAGCGCAGTTGTAGTGAGCGCAAATAGTCATGAGCGCGTTCAGTGTTTAGCGCATTCAGTCATTAGCGCTGCTAGGGCGAGCGCCTCTAGCCAGAAGCCTGTTCAGTCATCAGCGCGACTAGACTTCGAGCACCTTCAAACTACACTCGATGGAAGAGGTGACATCCCCTTGAGCGAATTTTCGATCCTATCGACTGTTGATCCTATCCCCGTTCTATCCTATTTTTGTTGAGATCTCTTAAGTTGCAGCACTAGTTTCATGCTATTTTTGTTCCTATTCTGGATCTTTCATCGAAAATTTCCATCGCAGCTGCTCAAAGGGAAATGACGCAGGGAAAGCCAGATGCGGTCATCTACTGAGCGATCGGCTCCTGTCCCTTCTGAACCTTCCATGCCACAGCTCCATATTTCCATCGAATCGATCCGCTGAAAATCAAAGATCATCGCATCGTCGGGAGCTCTTATGGAGCATCGCCCTCGGGTGGAGCGGAGGCTCCCACGCAATGTGAAGTTCCGCGAAACGTACCGAGAGTTGTGTCCGTATCGCAAAGTTAAATTACGCGGGAGGCTCCCCGTCCGTGAGCCAGCATTCTCGAGAGTACGCCGTTGTGATCAGTCTGGTGAAAAATAGATACCGTGCTCGTCGCAATTGCTGAGGTTTTTAGCTGAGTTCGGGCTCATTTCTCGTCGAAATGAGCATCGTCAAGAGAGCTCATCGCGAATGGGACAATTTTCTTTTGAAATCAGCAGAGGTTTGTTCTCATCAAATTTCTCTGTTGAGTAGAATGAATTCAGGCCAAGGTTAGGCAAGAACGAGACGCTAATTGCGATTTCTTCTCGGATCCCTCGCGCGGCCCTCCCATGAGCAACACGATAAGCTTTCCGAGCCGAGAGAAAGCCTCATCGGCGGCACCGAAGTTCTTGGTTTCGCATTGAGTTTTCGATCCGTGTCAACTGAATTCTGTGCGGCTGAGTGCTTGAAAGTTAGTTCACCGACATGAAATTCGTTAGAGCCCTGAGTGATCGCTGAAATCGTGACAGCGGAGCGCAAGCTCGAAAATCGTTGCTCAGCGGCTTACGATCGCCAGTCCCCGTGAAATCACTTACACCCTAGGTCTTTGAAATCAGATGTCTTGCGGAATGACCAGTCTGATCATGAGCTGATTACGGAATCGCGAGAGCGATCGCTCCAGGATAACCTTATCACTCCACAGGCCAATCACGATCCTGGCCGGAATGATCAGAATTGGTACCCGCAAATGAAATCTCTTCAGGACTCTTCCGTCATCGGGAGGATGAGAGCTGTTAAGGACAATATTCCCGTCGACAATCAATGTGTCTAATAGCTGGTGGACATACTTCGAGCATTGGGGTCATCGCGTCTCCACAGGCATCGAGGGCTGTCGGCCACGCATAACGGATTTTTCCGTATTTCGTCGATAATCATCATCTAATTTGTTAGTTGTAGATGTCTAAGGCGTGTCGAGAGGCTCGACAGCACATGGGTGAACATCAAACCACGAAAAACGTGCGTTCATTGTCGATGTCTTCGCTCAGCATGGAGCATTCTTCTTCGCGGGAAAGACCATGGGAGAACGATCGGGGTGAGAGTCTGAGCGGAAGTTGAACGTAGAAAGAGAATCGGTGAGATCTATCGCGGGATTCATCATCGGAGACCAACGATGAGTAAGTCTGTCAGAGCAATTTTTGTGGAGGTGCGCGAATCAGCACTGAGTTCGATGTATCTGCTCGGCTGTCTCATGTGAACGACAAGACTCCCGTGGGTTTGGACGGCGAAGGTCTGGCCATCTAGGAATGCTTATCTCAATCCGCTCACCATGAGTCATATTGGTGAATTCGCAACCTCTACATGCGAGGGCAGTCTTAGGAGCGACTTTATCTGCTTTTGCAGAGAGCAGTTATTCATGACTGCTTCGATGGTACTTGCAAGATATAGAACCAGCTGTCAGATTTCGTACCTGCTGCCAGGATTCGGAGAGCGGGACGTGGTCAACACGGCGCTCACAATTCGTAATCATAGAAAATGTTTGCTCCAACCCATCGAAAAGCGCACCGGTAGCGGGATAGGCTCTCCTGTGAATTCTCAAAGAGCGAGACACGTATAAGAACCTTAGATACGCGACCAGGATTAGGCAAGATGGAGCCAAAACGGAGACGAAAAATCGGAACGAGTCATCGAGACTGCCACAAGGGAGCGGAAAATTCGCAATGACTTTCAGATAAGCTCAAAATCGAATCCAATGACTCCATAGTCTCTCGGCGTATTGAGGTGGTGTTGCTCAGGGCGGAAGAAACGAGGAAAAGCGGAGCTACGGCCAACGTGGAAAAATGCGTGCTCTGATTTCATGACGCTAAGGCAAGCCAGTGATTGCATCAAACGCCCTTTCTTCGAGTGAGGAGGCCGCTGAGCACACACTGACCGCCAAGATTTCTAATCCGAATCTTTGGCAAAGCAGCCGTGAACGTCCCATTGCTATCGATTCCGGCCAAGTTCCGTTCGAATGAGTTGAAACAGTGGATCGAGTGTGCCTAGACACCTGGCCGCACCATGACTCCTGGGAAGTGAACTCGTTCAGCTCCGCTGTTATGATCTGTTGGCGGCAGCTACTCTCGTGCTCGGCGGTTATCGCCTAAAAGACACTGGTCGGTCTGTTGGATTCTGATCGAAAATGGGGATTTTCCTCCGGCGAACTTTTCCTAAGCTGATCATAGTGGCTTCGGTGTTACTCTTGTTGCTTAACGTGGTCGTGCATCTGAACTTTTTCGCCGCATATAGAAGCTTCAGTTACCCATTCTTCGGCCACAACCCGGATCGGCTCTTCTCCGAAGTTGAAATGGTGCTCAGAACTCCAACTTGTGAGGTGCCGAACTTTGATCCGTTTGATGAAAGCATGGCAAAATATTTCCAGAAAAAACTCGCAACCTGTGATGCAACGGCGAAACCATTTTTCCTGACCACAGAAATTGTTCCAGGAGTCGGGAGCTGTCCCAAGCTCGACACGAGAGTTTGGAGCAAACATTATGCTCCCAGAGATTTCCGTAACTTGACTTGTTTCTACTCCGAAGCGGTTCGTGACACTGACGCCTCGCGCCCGGACGCTTTCTATGAGATGAGAAAAAAAGTCAGCTTCCGCATCGGGATGTGTCCGCCAGAAGAGAACATCCTGATCAGTTGCACTTCCACGAATGATGGCAAGGGCCTTGCCCCATTCAAGTACGCGCAGCCCATGCTGCTGCCTAAGGTCCGACCGAAGAGATCACGGCCTGGAACGCTCAAGAAACGATACAATGTCATGGTGTTGGGAATCGACGCCCTGTCACGACTGAACTTCCTGAGACAAATGAAGAAAACCCGGGAGTGGCTTGAAAAGAACAACAAGCGCAACAAGATCATCGAAATGTTCGGTTACAACAAAATCGGGGAAAATTCAGCGCCGAACCAAATTCCGATGATGACAGGAGAGAGCTACATACCGGGGATGATGGATCGAGCGATCGGCCATTATTTCGACAATATCTCCAGCTATATATGGCAAGATTACTCGAAACAAAACTTCAATACGCTATTCTTCGAAGAGCAGTGGCCGACGGGTTTGTTCATACATCCGTCTCTCCGGGGTTTTTTGGAAGCACCGACTGATTATTGGCCTCGACCCATAATGCAAGCGGCTGATCAAATGCCTTCGAAGAGGCGCGGAATTTGTTTCGGTCCGATCTATGCTTCGAAAATCTATCTCGACTACTTGAGGGACTTACTGCTTGTCTCCCGTATGAGTGATCCTTTATTTTCATACGCCTGGTTCTCGGAACTCTCCCACGACATTTTAATCGGAGCACGCCGACTCGATGAGGACTTCAGGGCTTTCTTCGAAGAGCTCGACGCCCATAAACTCCTTGACGAAACTGTGATACTTTTCCTCTCCGACCACGGTTCCCGGCTGGAAGAATGGCGTGGAACTGAAGTCGGTCGCTATGAGGACATGCTGCCCTTTTTCTATGTGATGCTGCCGAACGAATTGTTGGAAAAGAGACCCGAAATTGAAAACAACCTCTCGGTGAATTCTCGACGTCTCGCGACAGTTTACGACATTCACGCAACGCTCAAAGAGTTGACAGAGCCAGGCCACGACGGAGGGAAAAGCACAACGACCGAGAGGGGCTATAGCTTGATCTCGGAACGAATCCCAGAGGAACGCACATGTTTGCAGGCGGGAATAAATTTGCAGTTTTGCTCCTGCTTGAAGCCGACTCGCCTGCGGACGGATTCTCGTCTCGCCAAAGAATTCGCTACACTTGTGCTTGATACGGCCAACAAGGAAATCCTCGAGAACAATGCAACCTCCGTCTGCGCCACGTGGTCCCTAAGCGACATCTATGACGTATTCCAGCTGCAGGACCCACAGAACCAATTCCATGTGGTGAAAATCCTCCTCTACGCGGAACCGGCCAAAGCCATGTTCGAGGCCTCCGCGGTTTATCGGGATGGCAAACTGAGCTTAAACTCTCGAGTCGAGCGACTGGATTGGTATAGCTCGCATGCGGGCTGCGTCGAGAATAAGCCATATGCTCGCTATTGTTTTTGTGAGGGATAGGTGTCTCTGCAAAGTATACGGCCAGGCCGGCCAGGAATCGCCCAAGAAGGCCTCACACAGGATTACGCTCGCTGACAGGGCAAGGGAGGGGTTTCGGGGTACAGGTACACACATACCTTCCCGCGAGGAGCGTTCGAATACTCCCTCAATGGAACGAGACCCTATCAGTGAACTGGCTTTCGCAGAGAGGCGTCTCCGTTTTGTCTGGAGCGGATGATGTGCAAGATTCCCGCATTGAACTCTGAATACAGTAGAACCTCGATCAAATCAAGCTGGGACTGCCAAACGAGAAATATAATTGAGGCTTCAAAAGAATACAAGATTGAAACCTTGATTGTGTCAACCTCCATTATCGCAATTTCCTGGGGAATCACCTCGATTTTATCAACATTCCGATGCTCGGTTCGTTTAATCGGGTTCCCGATAAGTCTCTATTGGAGCGATGGTCGAGTTCATGAGGTGTTTCTTTTGCACCTCGATTATGTCAACCATTTCGAGGGTCGAAGAATTGGAAAAAATAGAGGGCAAATCGAGGAAGTTGGGTAAACGAGGTCACACTGTAGACGGCGATTTTTTCAACCGACAAGACGATGGGAAATAATCGGGAAGGAGCGATGAGAGAACCTTGATCGTGGAACTAGTGTGGTTCCACTTGGATAAGCGGGAGGAGTATACGTGGTAGGAAACGTTGTACAGCAGGGGACGGCGGTCGATTCATTTCATAAACTTCGAGAGGCACAAGTCTCTTCCCGACTAATGGTTCGATCGTCATCGACCGCTTTCCCGTTGTGAGCGCCTCGATAGGGAGAGCCTTGATTTCTTACATTCTCCTGAATGTGTAATCAAGAGGTTGACGCCTTTTCGGAATACATGTAAGTCCGTGCATGATTGGCTCCGAGTGGGTTTCTCGCGCCTCTGCTGACTGAGTGCGCGATTTAGAAGCGAATCTGATTTGATTACGTCAGACTTTCGCTTAATAATTGAATTTGTGGCTTCTTTTCATGGATATCATTGCCTTCGGGACCGGAGACCATGCATCGACTATACTTAGACATTGCATTGCTTATTTCTACATAGCAGTCGTCATCGATGATATTCCTCTGTTGACGAATACGTGACGCGAACACTCATAGAGACGGGGATGATGAGTAATTGTCGTCCTCGATCGGCCCATCCCGATAGGTCCGACGAAAGTCATACTGACAACAAACTCTGACAATGAGCTTTTAGGCTGAATTGGCGAAACTCGAGCTAGCCCTCGGTGGTGTTGGCAAGGTCACTCGCGATGTTTCGCTTCGGGTTGCATCGAGCTCGGCTCGACTTCCCTCTAACCTCCTCCACGCCAAATGATTATAATCATCCGGGAGCCCGAAACTTGCCGGGACACATTGGACGCCGCCCTGTTTTTTCTCACCGTTCTTCGCATGAATAGGTCGGAGGACATCGCCGAGGTGGTTGCCAGCTCGGCCGGTCACTAACTCGTCCATCAACTCCGTCTTAGACTCCATCTCAATGACGGCCGCCGCATCCTCTCGTGACAGGCAGGCCAGCAATCCCATTGGCTCGGAAACAGAACACTTTCTCGCTGTACGGGCACAAGAAGGACGAGCACGGCCTTATCGTCTACGTCATCAGAGGAATACATCCGGAAGGCCATTGAGATACTTTACGGCATTCATGCGGCAGCGCAAGCAGCCGCCGGGATACACTTGAATGTGCGAGGAAGAAAATTCGCACTTTCTGGACCGGGAAACGAGTCTCGTCAATTAGTACGAGGAGCACTGCGGGTTATCGGATTAATCGATGAATCGTCAGATCGCTCCTAGAATATGTGCTATCACCTACCTCCTATTTAACTAAATCCAGAAGAATCGTTTAGAGGAGCTCACTCGGATGACATTGAGCGAATTCCCGACTGGTAATCCATAGCAACATAGGCGGAAGTTGTCTCCCCGATCGAGAAATATTTCAAATGATGCCCCATGTCGGCGCGGTTGGAAAGTCTGAGGAATACGTCGACGATACGGTTGCTTTCTTGACTTATAGGACTTGGCTTGTGGCAAGCACTCGCCAGCGGGGTTTCGTCCACGTGGGGTAAGGGGTCGACGGAGGAGGGTGCGGAGAGGGTTTAGAGACCCTCGCGAGCTTCACGTGTACCCCAAGACCCGATTTTTCCGGCGCACCCCGTTTTCTTTGGTTTTCTAAGACTTGTGCTCAATCACATATCTAGCTAGTAGTCAGTATCTGCTAGATACAGTGCGAAGTTTTCAGAGCTCAGTTTGGCTGGTTCTCCAGGCAGTTTCTCTGCAGGTGTCGACAACGGATCATTTTCGGTTCATGAGGATGCTTCTTACGGCTGCATCTCGTGCGAGTTTAGATGTTATATCCATGCAGATGTTTGGAGACAAAAGTCTTCCGTGAGATTCCTTCGCTTTCCGTTGAATAGACTTCCCGACACTCGGATTAAAGTGCCTGGTGGTGGAAACAGTGACGAAGTGAATGTGAACAAAAAAAAATTGTGCGGCCATGAACTACTCGGGAGGCAATGCCAACATCGCCAAGCCTTCCGGTGGAGGTAGCAGCAAGAAAAGCCAGAGCGGCGCTGGCGCCCAAGGCGATCAATTCTCGGTGATGATATGGTTTTCACATTCCTCCGTAAAGATTAGTACTCTTTCGATGCTGATTTCCAGGACCCGCTTCTTCCCTGTATTTTCCTTTCTAGGACCCCCTGTCATAGTATTGATAGCGCCGTTAGACATCGATTTATACAGACTTGACAGAATTAGTTGTCAGAGAAGAGTATCAAAAGAATTCGGCGGCTTCCTCATTCGCAACTTCTACCAAGCATCTCCTCTTGGATCCGAGGAGGTTCCCGCTAACTTGATAATCAAGTCCAAAGCTCCGCCTAGTCGGACCTAGGCTCAATCGGGGCCGGACATTTTCCGCGAACCGCAGTTTTTTTGCGAGAGGGAATTCCTGAGGTGATCCTCGGTTGAGAACCGCCGGAGGTCGCGGTACGCTGCGAGTTACGCGGGAATTATCCCGGAGAGTTCACAGCCCTCCTGACGGAGAAGGATCGACATGCTGTTTTTCCTTTTACGGAATTATAGGTGTGATCCTCTGGAGGCCGAGTCGATCGGAATCAGGTCACCGAATCCCACCTGTCCCCCGCCCAGAGAGATTCGAAGATCAAAAATTCTATAGATCCCCTCGTACATGATGATGGAAGCATGGCAGTCGATGGGCAAGTCGAGCGGATCGAGAGACCCCGGATATCCATAGCCTTTGTTCCTGCAATTACTTCCGAACACCCGAACAGTCACCTTATTACGGTGCGGCCGAGTTTCCGGGTCGCCGTCTGTCCGATCGCGCAAGTTAGCGACTCTCTTTTGATTCGAATGACTTATGACCGATAGCTTGCACGAATTTGCTGTTGAATAATCATCCAATGGTGGCCATGGAACCTGGATACGCAGATCCCGCATGCGCATCGGCTGTGCGGAAATCGATCACGCTGTCAGATTAATCCTATATCTATGTATCGGCTCAAGTGTATCCAGAATGATCGAGCGCGAAGACGTGCTCCACGACCCCTTTACTTTTCGTTTTCCGTGTAGTCTGTATGTACATAAAAGAGTGCCGTTCACTCCAGTCAACAGACCTGTGAGCGTCGGTGTCGGAGCAACGATCGGTTTCGGCTCCACGGTACGGTGTCATGGTGCAATCGGTCACCTGGGGCGCGGGGAAACACTGATGGAAGGGAAACGCGATTGCGACGAGGAGGGCCTGACCGGGGAGAGAATGAAGATTGAAAGAGAGGGAGTGGGAAAAACGAGCGCCAACACGCGGAGTGCCGAGAGGATAAAAAATCGAGCAAACACAATGTTGATACAGAACGTCGACGCCTGCAGACGCCGTCGCTCCCCGTCGAGTCCCCCGTCGCACTGAGCAAACATCTTCGAATGAAAACACGATCGACTCAACGCTCCCGACCGGAACTACTTCTGACACAGTACTTTCGCTCTCCTCGTCGGAATGAACGACTTTGCATTTCGTATGTCGAGAATACACGCGTCAACAATGAGATGTGAATAAATTCCACGTACTATAATTTGGCGTATCAAGATTACACTTGCGGTAAGGAGCAGGATATTTTCGGCGGACAAGAGCAGCGTCCTTCGACCGGAATTACGCGTCGTCGGCACGCTGCCGGATCGTGCGCTCATATCAAGAAGATGTCGGGAAATCGGGAAGTGCCGACAGACGTTCATGTGGACTGTTCCTGTGTCAGGGTCGTGTACCTCACGAGTTGGACACCGAACCTGGCGAATCTGGAGGGCAAAGTGCTGTGTGAGAGGGCTGCTTCTTGCAGTTCGCAGTTCAACGACTCACTCATGCTTAAGCTTTTTGCCAAAGCAGCCTCTACTCCCAACTGATTCTCGCGAGAGCAGGCGGTAGCGTTTTTCGAGCTCGGGTCGCTGAAGACTCCTCAGTAGGCGCTTTCCGGAGTATGGTCACAGCGCATTCCCTCCGGAAGACCTCGTTCCCAGTCTGAAAGTGCTGTAGTTATCTCGGTTCGGATCCTCCCCGTCCACTGGTGAACACCTCAAAAGAGAATTCCCATCAGGGACAAGCTATTCACGCTTTCCTCTGGTGGGAGCGATCCTCGATGGGCAACGGAATATTTCAGTCGTCCGGGAACGAGGTTCCGGAATCTCTAGAAGACACGGTACAAAGGTCTGACTTGTCCTCTTCTGCGAATAACCCTCGCCCTCGCTTGAAACAGCAAAATCGCTACTCTGCTGACTAGGGCAAGAGTACCCGGCCCAAGCTGGAAACCGTGCTGAGAACTAGCGCGAGCTATCGAGCTGACCGCTGTATTCTTGAGAAAGATCAAGCAATCACCGAGCGGCAGCTTGTAGATTGACGCTTGACGTGCCGCGTCACGGATGAGGTTGAAGAAGTACGCTTGCGGGAAGCGACACCAACGAAAGAGAGTGAGTCCATACCGTTCGGTGGCCCGTGGACTGCAGCCGCCCAGATATACATATTTACACACATAGTTTGTTTCGGCGGTGGCAACACCGGTCGTATCGAATATTCGACAGTCGAGAGCAGAGGATGAGCGATCGGGTGGTTAATGGACGCATCCATTCCGCGGTCGGAGTCTATTATCCGGAAATTTCTTCCGCTCTGAAAATTTCCCCTCTCCTTCCATTCATCAATCAATCCACCGAACAATCAGCTCGTTTGTGCGATCGGACCTTAGGCGGCGGAAGCGCCCGTGAAAAGATTTCCGGAAATCGTCTCCATCG